TCTTTCCCTTAACCCCTGGCTGGGGCACATAGCCCACCCTTGTCGGAGACCCCGTGGGTTCTCCAGAGTAGCTGCCCTGGCTGTCCACCTGACCATGGTGTTCGTTCCTGTCCATTAGATGCAGCTCTACGTGGAAGAGCGAGCTCATAAAAGCAGCTGAGGGTGTGCCTGCCCACCGTGGACGCCACAACTGTCGAACTTTGGGGGCCCAGCCTAGGGCAGTGCTACTCTGATTCCAAGTGCTCTTATTGCCTCTATGTACGGACCACCCACCCTCCAGCCCGGGGCTGCTCAGGCTTGGTTGCCTCCATGGAGGAATCCTCCCCAGGAGGGCAGGCAAGGGTGCTGGGACCTCAATTTCTCAGCCTCCTGGGATTCAGCTGGCCCACACTGCCTCCAATACTGTGCTGTGAGTTGTTTCAATAAAGAGCCCCCAGGGCTGAGCTGGGCTGTCACTCCCTGGAGGGGAGGGAGGCTGCTTCTCTACCAAAGTGCCGAGGACATTGTACCCCGACCCCTAGACCCGACCCCAGGCTGGTTTTACTAAAAACATTTATTACACCAAAATGTCAGAGCTACGTGACAGTTAAGTTCACAGACTGGTGGGTTTGCCCCAGGTGGGAACTGGGGCAGGGGGTCTCGCTGCCCCCTACAGGCTCATGCCTTGCCTGGAGGGGACCTTTGGCAATCGGCTGGCCCAGACGGAGGACCGATGAATGGCTGAATGGCTGTCAGGGGACAGGCTGTCAGGAGGGCCTGTGGAGGGGGAGGGGCGAGGGCAGGCGGGCCACCTCCTCTGGCCCCTGCATGGTCTAGGGCGGAGCCACGGAGGGGGCCGGGCTCCTGGTCACCCTGTGGCTGATGACGATGCTGCTATTGGTGACACGGGGACCATACCAGCCTGCCCAGAACTGGGTGTCCTTGCCCCCGTGCTGGAAGAGGATGTGGCGGACACCTGGAGGGTAATCCGAGAAGGTGTGGGAGACCTGGGGGGAGGAGGGGAAAGGAAGTGACCACCAGGACTGAAGAGGGGACGAGACAGGATGACCACTGAGCTGGAGAGGGGACGGCTGGAGTCAGGTCCTGCAGGGGAGAGCCTTCCGGCCAGAAGGCAGGAACTCCAGACCGAGGACTGGTGCATTCTGGGCCCTGGGGCTGCCCCGTATTTCCTGCCATCCTGGCCTTGGGAGAAGTGGATGGCGAGGGGCAAGCAGGTGAGGCCTCACCTCTGTCCACCTGGCATCGTTCCACTGATGGACGGTCGTGGGTGGGGGCTCGAAGGAGGCCAGGACGATGTAGTCGGCCGAGGCCAGCTGTACTCGGATGTGGTAGGTGCAGCCACAGTCTGCTCTGGCAGCGAACCTGGGGGAGGGGAGGGCTTGGGACTGTGCACCCCAGTACAGAGGTGGCCCTGGAGGCCACCATCTCTGGAGGCGGGCAGGTAGCAGGCCCACAAATTGGAGCCCCGAGTCTCATTTCCCCGCTCTGCCCATGAGGCCCAGCCGGCTTCAGGGCTCCCTGTGCCCCTGGGGTAAGCAGTCTGTCTGCGCTGGGCCTCAATAATCCCATCTGAGGAAACAGGCAACCCTTCCGGGTGTTCCAGTGAAGATGTCACCGTAAACAGCAAAAGGCTCTCTACAGAGATAAAGTCCTGGGCTGTAGGATCTGTGTTGCCGCCTGTACATTACAATGGAGGTTCGGGAGGGGTGGCCTGTGTGATGGGGGCTGCATAGAGCTCACCCTCTGGTCAGCCCTACTGCAGCCCTGCACACCTCTCAAGCCCCAACCCCCCACCCTCAGAGTAGTGGCCCTGGGGCCTGGCTGACATTAGGGTCCTGCTTCTGCCCTGGGACAGGCCAGACAAAGTTCTGGGCACAGAGTAGGAGCTTGGGATAGAGTCGTGGGATGAACAGTGAAAGGGGTAGGGGAGGCACACAGGCATGTGAGTATCTGCGAGGTCCAGGGAGGCTGGGTCCTGGTGTCTCTTGCTCCAGGGCCTGTTAGTGACAACTCATCTGTAGGCCTCAGTCTCACCATCTGTAAACTGGGGTTAACATCTGCTGATGCAGGGTTGGGGCGGGGGGCAATGTTGAGTAAGTGCTGGGCCTGTCGGCAGGGAGGGAGGCAGCCCTTGCCCCAGGACTCCGCCGGGCTCAGTGGGTGCTCCCAAGAGGGCTTCTCAGGAAGAGCAGAGGAAGGGATGCAGAGTGTGGGACTCGGGCGTGGGCCCCACTCACCAGTCCTTAACCACGATGTCCGGCCGGAACTTGTCCAGTAGCTCCTCCCAGTAGCCCTCAGCTTTGAGGTCTATCAGCTGCGACTTGAGACACATCCTGCGGAGCAGAAGGCGAGGCATGCGTTCCCAGGCGTGGCCCGGACCCAGGGAACTGGTGCAGGGGCTGCAGGACAGGACTCTGGCTCCTGCCTCCATGCAGGCCCGTGGGGAACGTGCAGGGAGTTTGACCCACTGGTGCCTGGGTGGCGTTCATCCCAGTCCTTAGGCCCAGTGTCCCGGGCACCCAAGGAGGGCGCTTCCGTGAACTCAGGCCCCTAGACTGGGGCCAACCTGTACCACCCCTGACTTACCCCAACCACCTAGCGGGCTCCCAGCCTCCTCAAACTGCTCGCCTCCCCCACTCGCCTCAACCCAGCCACTGAGTTGCCTCCTGCCCCAGGAAGCGGTAGATGCTGAGCTGGCGTTGGAACCCCCTTTCTGGAGCTTCACACACAGGCCCTGGGGGTTTGGCAACAGGCTGTGCGGACCCTCTTCCCCCCACACAGCTTCTCAGCTCAGCTCGTCTCACTCATAGGACGCGGCAAAGTACTTCTTGACTTCGGGGTCAGGAAAGTCTGCGCCGTGCGCCCCGGGGAGGCTCTCCACCTTCCACTGGTCCCCTCCGTTGGAGTCAATTTTCCAGGATCTCATATCCTCTAGGAAAAACAGAAGCTGCAGTAAGACCCTCTGGGTGAAATGTTCAGCCTGGCCCTCTCTACCTGGTCCCGGGAGGGAGCGGGTAAGGCTCAGATCTCAAGGCATGCACCCCAAGGCACCTTGGAGCCGCCCTACAAAGCCCCCCTCCCCACACTCCCACCTGTGCCCACCACATCGATTCTGATCTGGGCCCTCTGCCTCCCGCTTTGTCCCTGAGCGGGTCAACTCCTAACCTGAAGCTGGAAAAAAAGAAAAAAAGAGTATGGAAATTCTAAACGAGCCTTTCCTCACTTCCACATTGCCCAGGGGCTCTGGAAATACCCAAGTTTCAGTTCTCGAACCATTAAATTATGAAGGGCCTGTGTGGGTAATTCTGTTTTGTTTTGTTTTTTTTTGCGGTACGCAGGCCTCTCACTGTTGTGGCCTCTCCCGTTGCGGAGCACAGGCTCCGGACGCGCGGGCTCAGCGGCCATGGCTCACGGGCCCAGCCGCTCCGCGGCACGTGGGATCTTCCAGGACCAGGGCACGAACCCGTGTCCCCTGCATCGGCAGGCGGGCTCAACCACTATGCCATCAGGGAAGCCCGGTAATTCTGTTCTTAATGGCTAATGTGAGTTTGTCCCAACTCAGACCACTTACTAGACGACTGGCATTCCCCTATCGTCGACGTCCAGGAGGTTAACTACTTACTGGGATCTGAGGGGCTTTGCTGGTGGGTCGTGGGAACCTGCTGTGCCCACTCGGACCCCCTCTGCCCAGGGCAGGAGGGAGGACTGGGGGGCCGGGCATCCTCTGGGTTGGTGGCGTGTAGTAACCCCGTGTTGGTGGAAGGGTCCCCCACCAGGTTGCCTTGGCAGGTCTGTAGGCGTAAGGCTGTCCCTCCCATCTCCCCCTTCAGACTGAGCTGAGAGGACTTCAGGAAACAGTGCCTCTCTACCCAGGCTTTCCAGAACAATCACCAGGAGAGCTTTTCCAAATTACTCCTTTGCTCCCTCTACTAGGAGCCCACATCTATTCCCCAGGTGCCCCGGGAGCCCCCCAGTAGAAAAGCAGAAGAGGAATTCAGGAATCCAGGGTGGGCCAGTGCCCAGGGCAGGCGCAGGAGAGCTGGGTGGCCGGCTCTGCAGGGCTGCGTGAGCTGCGCTGGTGGCCTGGCCCGGCTGGGCAGCTTCTGAGCAGAATTTGGGGCAGGCCAGGAGACTGAGTGTCTGGGGCACTGTCTATGGGGCCGCTAAGAGGGGCCTAAGGGCCTTCAGCAGTCAGGACTGGACCCCAGAAACTGGGCAGTTCTAGATCTTTGAGCAAGACACTCATCTGGGGGGCCTCACGCTCCCCATCTATAAAATGGTGCCAAACCCTTCTTATTTGGCTAACTCTCGGGATCTTCATGAGAATAAAGAGAGGAAGGGATTCTAAGTGTACAAACTATGCCTCTTCATCAACTGCTGCTATACCCAAACAGGAAGCATGATGCCTGGTACTAAATGAAGATGCTAAATGAAGAAAAAAAAAAGCCTGGCAGATATATGAGAACATAAGCAAAATAGGAGCCTCAAACCACGTGACCGTAGTTACCTCTGAAATTCCTCATTTTCTTCCTCGTATCATGGGGTGACGGGAGGATAATGACATTTCTAAGACCTCAGACTAAGTGCCTGGCACACAGGAAGCCCTCCCTCAACGTTAGGCAGCACAGACTGAACTAAAGGGGAGGGGGTCTGCAGTGTGTTTATTCATTCAACAAACGTTTCCTGAGCACATGCTATGTGGAAACGGTGCAGAGTGGCAAGGTCTGTCAGGCCCCAGGAACTTGAAATTTGTGGCAGAAGAAAAAAAAAAAAAGATTCAGTTATTATAGGTAATGACCAGTGCTATGAAGGAAGGAAATGGGGCGATGTGACAGACGTGGGGAGCACTGTTTGCAGATGGGGGATCAGGGCACATCTCTGAACTGAGACCTGAAGAATGAGGAGAGGGACCAAGGGAGCATGACAGGTGTTGCGGGGAGTGGTGGTGATGAGAGAACATTCCAGGTAGTGTGGGAACAGCAAGTACAAAGGCCCTGAGGTTCAGGAAAGGGAAAGGAACAGCCCAGCAGCAGGCCCCAGCCCACCTTCGGCACACGGGTTGCGCAGGAGGTTCCTGCGGAGGCTGCACAGAAAGTAGAAGACCTTCCAGTCCGCCACAGACTGGTCCCAGTCCTCAGTGACATAGCCCTCATGCAGGCATTTGCGCTTCCAGAGGGTCACAAGGTCGATGAGGTCGCGCCAGAGGCTGCAGACAGGGCGGCAGTTCAGCAGCAGCTGGCGGGCGGGCACGTGTGTGAACACCTCCAGCAGGATGCTCTCGGGCAGCTGGTTGATACTGACCAGGGCCATGGTCGTGGTGGGGTGAGAAGCATGCACAGGCCTGTGGGGAGCAACAGTGGTCATGAGCTCTGACCAAGGAGGTGGACCCCTTAGATCCCCAGGGACCTGGGCCAGGGAACATTGGAGCACCTTTCCAGTACATGGTAGACCCTCAAAATAAATAGTGGCCACATGTTATGCACATTTGAAAGAGTGCAATAAAAATATTGATAAAGTCTTCAGGGACTAATTTTTTAAGAGACCCCCATCCCCCATTAAAAAATTAATTGCTTAATTTTCAGTTGGTGGGCTTGGAGAACCGTAAGATTTTGCCAAGGCCATGCTGTTGTCTGTAAGCTCTGCAAAGGCTTTCAGTGATGTTATTTTAATAGTATGAATTCACCGTTAGAACATAAAATCTTGGGACTCCCCGGTGGCACAGTGGTTAAGAATCCGCCTGACAATGCAGGGGACACGGGTTTGATCCCTGGTCCAGGAAGATCCCACATGCCATGGGGCAGCTAAGCCCGTGCGCCACAACTACTGAAGCCTGCACGCCTAGAGCCTGATCTCCACAAGAGAAGCCACTGCAATGAGAAGCCGACACACCACAAGGAAAAGTAGCCCCCGCTCTCTGCAACTAGAGAAAGTCCACACACAGCAACAAAGACCCAATGCAGACAAAAATAAAAATACAATAATTAAAAAAAGTGTGAGGGAAAGAATATGTATATAAAAAAAAAGAATGTAAAATCTTTATTACTTCCACAGACTAGCTCACAATTTAAGTGATGGGCTGAGAAACAAACTTTCTCTCCCCAAATTGCCCACTTTAGCTGTGATAAAACATCCCAATGAGGAGGCTCCCCACACAGTTCTGGGTTGGGCATCAGGCCACTCTGTAATGCCCAGAGACGGAAAAGCACGTTGAAGGTGAAGAAGCAAGATTGCTTGGGTTTGAATCCTGGCCTGGAGTGACTCGCTGGGAAGGCAGTCCCCCCCCCCCCCGGGTTGGGCATCAGGCCACTCTGTAATGCCCAGAGACGGAAAAGCACGTTGAAGGTGAAGAAGCAAGATTGCTTGGGTTTGAATCCTGGCCCGGAGTGACTCGCTGGGAAGGCGGCCCCCCCCCCCCCGCAAAAAAGGTGGTAACTGTCCCGACCTCAGAAGGGCTGGGAGGACTGAGTTAGTACAAGTAAAGCATTTGGCACAGGGCTGGTTGAGAAGTGCTCCACAGCATCATTAACCACACTCCTAGCCTTAGAGCAAAACAACTCTCCAGTAGTTGCAGAGGTACCGGCCCCCAAGAACACATTCCTCCCTCTACATCTGAATTGCACAGGGTTTTGGGAAAATTACAGTGCCACCACCTTGGCCTGAATCTTGCCTGGGGGGAATCCTGGTTATCCAGCTAAGGGGATTCCCTCAGGCGGGTGGGAGTGGGCCTGTAGCCACTGTCACTCAAGATGGCTGGAGCAGATGGGCCTTATCTGCTTATGGGTGGGGAAGGAAATATTCTCCTGGGACACGTAGGGACACTGGAGAGACTTTTCATTTTTCATTGCGACTTGGCCAAAGAAGCAGTTGTTAACTTAAAACAATAAAACAGCCAGACATTTTACCAGCAAAACAGATTTATTTGGGAGCAGCAAAGAATTGAAATTTGGGACATGCAACTGGTGAACCACTTGTAAGTCCTGTTAAGCAAAGCAGAGGGAATTCTTTTATAGAAGAGAAGGGGAAGTTGGGAGGGACTGTTATAAACAAAAAGTCTGCTGGAGGAAACTGGGAGTTCCAAATATAGTGACTTTTCAATGGCTGAGTTGTGACAGTCTACCATTAGCTAAGCTGTTGCCAGGAAAGGAGAAAATCTTTCTTCCTCCTGCTGGCACTAGTAGTGTTACTTCCTGCCAGAGATCTGTATTGATTCTTCCTGCATTGACTGTCAAGTACTCCCCGCTTCTGGCCTCCCGACTCCATTTTAGTGAGGTTTCCCTTCATTAATTTTCACATTTCCCCCTTTTGATCAAGATCTTTCTCCAAAAGCATCACTGATCAAGAGTCAGGGTTTTTGTCTGTTTTTTAAATCAGCATTCAGTGGCCTTTTGTCCCGTGATGCCAGGAAGGATCTTTTCTGGGTTTCCTGTCCCATGTCAGAGGGAAAGTGCACAGATTGGAAACCTATTGTGGTCACATCTGAGTAACAAGGAGGGGTAGGAGGGAGATCTCTCAGGAATTTCCCATCCAAAAGTCTGTATCTTAGAATAGTGAATACAGCAAGGGCACACACAAAACTGAAGGAATTAAACAAGAATTTTGTAAAGAAGATGTGGTACATATATACAATGGAATATTACTCAGCTATAAAAAGGAACGAAATTGGGTCATTTGTAGAGACGTGGATGGACCTAGAGACTCATACACAGTGAAGTAAGTCAGAAAGAGACAAACAAATATCGTATATTAACACATATATGTGGAATCTAGAAAAACAGTACAGATGAACCAGCTTGCAAGGCAGAGATAGTGACACATGTAGAGAACAAATGTATGGACAGCAAGGGGGGAAAGCAGGGGGTGTGGTGGTGGTGGTGGTGGGAGGAATCGGGAGGTTGGGATTGACATATATAAGCTAATATGTATAAATAGGTAAGAACCTCCTGTATAAAAAAAAAATTAAATTAAAAAAAAAGAACTTTGGAATGACACAGTGTAGGAATAAACATGAAGTAATTAAACAGTATTGTTATCTCAAAAGAAACTGTTTGGAATCAGATGTTTTATCAATGATACAGACTGTAGGTTGAAAATTCAAGAAACTGAATTTGGATAAGAATCCAGTCAGTTTTATAGTCTAGATGAAAGAAAGACAGTTCTGTGAATTCTAAACCTTCTAACAGGCCTTGTCTAGACATCTTGGGCAAGCTGTCTCATCAGATGTCATCTGCTTCAAATCCAGGAAATCTTTACCTTCAGGTCCCCAGACAGTGTGCAGGTCCAGTTAGGGTCTGGTGCTTTCTTAGATGTGTCACATGAATCCAAGAGTCTGTTCTCTGAAGTTTGGAGGCACAAGGGTAGGTTAGCAGTACCTGATGGGGCCTTTCCAGTGAGGCTGAAGAGAGTCCTTCTCAAGGTGTCTTTTCCAGTACATGAAATCTCCAGGTTGAAAGGTGGGATGCTTAAGGTCTTCGTCTCCCAAGAGCGCACTATGAAGAAGACTGCTCTACCAAGCATTGTTATTTTTAATAGAAGCAATCAGGCCTTTACAATATTGAAATATATCTCCTTTCATCAGCTGTGGGTCAAAAGTGGGTGGGGCAAGGAACATTGGGTGTCCTGTGACTACCTCAAAGGGTGAGAGTTTGAGTTCTGAAAGGGGTGGATCTGAGATTTAGAAGGACCAATGGCAATGCTTTTTTGGGGGAGGGTCTCTATGAATTTTGCCCACTAGGTCTTAATATTGCCATTCGAACGTTCCACTAACTCTGAGGATTGAGGATAGTAAGTACAGTGAAAATGTTGTAAAACCAGTTAAAGAACACAAACTTGTCAAAGCACCTGACCAGTAAAATGGGTTCCTTGATCACTGTGAAGTTCAAGAGGGGTTCCCCAGGTAGGGATAATCTTTTCTATCAAAATTGTAGCCACAGAAGAAGCAGTGGCCTGTCGGCAAGGGAGGGCTTCAATCCAATGAGAAAACATACAGACCATGTAATAAAATATATTTATATCCATGAGAATGGGGACAGCTATGTGAAATCCATCTACCAAACTTTTTTTTTAATTGGAAGATAGTTGATTTACAATGTTGTGTTAGTATCAGGTGTACAGCAAAGTGAATCAATTATACATATATGTATATCCACTCTTTTTTAGATTCTTTCCCACATCGGTAATTACAGAATATTGAGTGGAGTTCCCTGTGCTATACAATAGGTCCTTATTAGTTATTTATTTTATACAGAGTAGTATATATATGTCAATCCCAATCTACTGATTTATCCCTCCCCCCCTTTCCCCTCTACACCTACCAACTTTGGATGGCCCATTACGCAATTCAAAGTGTCTGGGAACAGTGCAAACAGGTTTCCCTGGATTGTATTTTGGACAGGTGGGACAAGAAGGGAGGTACTTTTTGTGGCCTTATTAATATTTCCCCACCAACATTCATTCATGAATGCTATCATTTTGTCACTGGACCAAGAGTTCAATGCATGTACAGTGCTGAGGTGTGGGAATCAGAATTTCTGGGAGGACCAGTTTGTTATTTGGCCCAAACCAGAGTTTTCTCTTTCTACTGAAAACAGCAGTTCCTAGATCCCCAATACTGTTTTTCCTTTTCTGGGGGCATTGGGCATTTCTAGATTGTTATCTTGGGGAGCATCCTTTTGGATCATACCGGAAGTTTGGTCATTGGTTCCTTCGAGAGCAGCATTTGGGGCAGAAATAACAGCAAGGTGGTTTCTTTCAGCCTCTAGGGACTCAAGCTTGGAATCTGCCCAGGGATCTTAATAATAGTCAAGGCAGCTGTCAAGAGTATAGCGCTTAATTGATTTTGCATATAAGAGCCATTTTTAATCTTTTCCCCATTAGAGATAGGGAAACCTTGTTGTTTCCATGTTATTCCAAAGTCTTGGGTTGCTCCAAAGGAATACTGACTATCAGTATAAACGTTTGCAGTTTTGCCCTTGGCTAAACTACAAACCTCAGTGAGGGCATATAATTCAGCCTGTTGCATAATTAAGCCGTAGGTAAAGGCGTTGCTTCAACAACATCAAAAGGAGTTGCAATGGCATACCCAGCACAATATTTACCACCTTCTCCCTTTAAATAAGAACCATCAGTAAACCATGAAAAATCTGCATTGGTTAGAGGAGTCTCCTCTAAATTATTACACGGAGTCAAAGGGTGACCAGTAAGGGTCAGGCAGTGGTGAGGGGTTTCGTCAGTGAAGGAGGGGAGAAAAGTACCAGGGTTGAGTTTAGTACCATGTGAAAGAGCTACATGAGGAGCAGTTAGCAAAAGGATTT